CAGGAGTTGGAGGTTGCTGTGAGCTGTGATGCCACGGCACTCTGCCCAGGGGGACAGCTTGAGGCTCTGTCTCAAAAAAAAAAAGAAAACTTTAGCCCATGACAGCACAGTGGTATCTACTATTATAAAATGCATTAAAATAAGTTCAAAGTCTTCCCCACATTCCTTAAAATCGTTTATCTCACAAGGTTCTGTGGAGATAATCTAGGAGAGTGGATTAAAGATATTGGTGTGCTAAGTCACCCAAAAGCCTGGGTCCTCCGGGGCCAGCGGCCGTGATGATGACTTCCAGGTGTACCCGTGTCATCTACTTGCACAAGGCCTCACGTATACAGCTTTGAGCAGACACCAACAAGTCAGAGCAGGAAAACAGCAGCAAACACACAGAAATCTGACCGTCATGCTTGAAGAGAGACTCTTAGAATTTCACTACTTAGCCTCCCACCTCCTTAAAACACACGTGGATTAATTTACACTTGCAGTTACTTTTGAGAACCAACTCACTCTCTTATAAAATTACATCCTTTGGGCAATAAACATTTTCAATTGAAGTGGGAGTGAGAAAGAGTAAGAAAATGTATGAGGAGAGAGTGTTAAAAGGAAAGAGAAAATACAGTTGTGAAACCAGAGCTCATTAGTACTAAGAAAGTTCTAAGTGCCTTCTTACGGGAAGAAAAGTACTTTTTCTGAGTAGGCAAAAGGTCAAGGAGTAGGTCCTGTTGTAAACTTAATAGGGACAAAAAATTAAGACATAATTCACAGAAGGGCAATGGACTACTGGGAGCAAAGACAAAAGTGGAAATAAAATCTCCTGCCAGGCTGCCTTTGCTCATGCAGAAAATGCATGAATTGACAAAGGATCCCGAAACGTTCACTTTCTAGTACGGCACACACTTGGGAAACTGACAATCGTGGGAAGGAGAAAAGAAACGGGGGACAAGGGTGCTGGAGGTGAAGTTAGAGAAGGGAAAAGAATAAAAATGGGAGCAAGAGGTATACATTTGCAAAGCTAAAAGAATACTGCAACACAAAAACAGCGCTGCTCTGTTAATTCCAATAATGAAGTATTCAATGACTGACACAGAGCTGTATCTCATACTTCATAACAGATAATCTCTAGACTACTTTTCTTATTTGATTTTCATTAATAGAGTAGGGTTGAAGAAAATGGAGCAACTTAGATGCAACTATCTCATGGGTTGCTTATAGGAAAATAGCAGCAGTATAGGGAAAAAACTTCTCAGCAAAACCTTTATAGAGGGGTGGTGCCTGTGGCTCAGTGGGTAGGGTGCTGGCCCCATGTACGGAGGGTGGCTGGTTCAAACCCAGCCCCGGCCAAACTGCAATAAAAAAAATAGCTGGGTATTGTGGTGGGCACCTGTAGTCCCAGCTACTCTGGGAGGCTGAGGCAAGAGAATCGCCTGAGCCCAAGAGCAGGAGGTTGCTGTGAGCTGTGATGCCACATCACTCTATTGAGGGCGATAAAGTGAGACTCTGTCTCTACAAAAAAAAAAAAAAAATACCTTTATACAGTCCTACTTCATTTTACAGGGACACTTGTAATGAAAGAAATTTCCAATAATAATGAGATATTTTTCTCCCAATTAGACTGGCAAAATCTTATTTTGTTTTAAGGGACATGGTCTCATTATGTTGCCCAGGCTAGACTCAAACTATCCTCTGACATTAGCCTCCCAACTAGCTGGGACTATAGGACTCTAGGTGCATACAACTGCACCCTGCTACCAAGATGTTTTAAAAACCAGCCACATTATCAGAGAAGGTGTGGGAGGAAAAGGTTATTCTCATAAATTGTTAGTCAGTTTGTAAATTAGTATCTTCCTTCTGGTGAGTAGTTTGGTAATATGTATCAAAAAGCAAAATGTACACACCTTATCACCCAACAACTTCCTCCCTTTAATTATTTATACTAAATGGATCATGGAATAAGTATTTAAAGATGAGTACAAAGAGAAATTTATTACAATCTTGTTTTACTTACAAATTTTAAATACAACATGACAGTCACCATAGGAAGCTAGTTAAATGAAGGCACACCATGCACTAGAAAATGAAGGTACGATTTATATAAACACACTGTCAAGAGAAAAGAGCAGTTATGAAATAGGCAGTGCCACACAGGGGCATCCCCACAGGATGGCAGCCTGACAGGTTTGCAGTTCCTGGCCAATATCAGCCCTGCTCTCCCTAAGGAAGGTCGTGGATCATTATGAAAGTCCTGGAAACACGGGGTCCTTTCACAAGGCACAGTTACATCAGCTGTTTTCACAATGACGCTGCAACTGTAGATGTTAGTACGTCCTCTGCCCTGTGATAAGGGATGTGCACACCATGTGTGCCTCCCACACTGTGGCTCTAAGATGAGTGAAACACAAAGCTTCATATTCTGAATCGTTTGGTTTATTTTAGCCCACTTTGATAAGCTGAACAGATGTGCATTTGAATCGTGATTGTGGCTGTAACCAGGCCTTATAGGGTCTCAAATCTAAAACCAATAATGAAATCCCAAGATAATTCTAAGTTTATTTATTTATTTATTTTTTTTTTTTGAGACGGAGCCTCAAGCTATCCCCCTGGGTAGAGTGCCATGGCATCACAGCTCACAGCAACCTCCAACTCCTGGGCTCAAG